TAAACAGACATTGACCTCGGTGTTTCATATCCAGACGTGCACATTACCTACCATGTTTGTAAATACATTCACAACACAAGACTAGAATATAATTATTTTATAAAAAAATCTTAAATTAATTGTTTGAATTATCAATGATATTAAAGTAAATAACTAAGTACATTTATTTTACATTCAAGGGAAATAAGAACTGCGGCTTTTTAGTCAAAAGTCCTTTGGTGTGTATACATGTAGAACCCAGGAAAAAGCTTTGTGAGAAAAAGCTTGTGTGTTAGTGTCAAAATATTATTTTTTTGCAAATTACGTATTTTACGAGTTTAATGTAGAAAATTCAATAAAGAGCTTCGGATAATATTAGTTTAGGCGGGACGTCAGATACGTCGTCAGACTTCACTATAAAGTCTTCTTCTTTTTCTTCTTTTATTAATGGCTTATCTGTGCATTTCGCACAATTCTGCCAATGTCAAGTGAATAAATAAATTTCTACATGTAAAATGAAAATGAAATGAATGAAAGATGGCGATGACTTCCAATATCGACGCGTGAATCCACTATAACGTCTTCATAAAAATAATTATAAGGGCATTATGGTTGTATATCCGTAGTTTTTGTTTTTATTCACTACACATCTTGTTTATGAATATCGCCCTCAGTTGCAGCCGTAATTTCCTTCGTGACAAACTGATGGATACCTAATCATTACCTAGGCCTAATTAACAGTTATGATGGTTGCCAAAGTCACGCAACGAAAGGTGTTTAGGTACTAGACGATGTTAACATAGTACCTAATCTGGGAAACCACAGCGCTAAACACATTTATTATTATAAATAGTTGTTAACTATTATAAGTAGCAAGAGCAATAATTTTGTTTTAAAGTCTTGCAAAATGAACATTTTAATTTCAAAATAACCTTTTTATTACATTTGAACTACTTGCACTTATGCTCTCATTGCTTTTTTCAGGGCAAAACCATAGAGCTAACTTCGTTAGAATGCCATGAAATCAAGGAGATAGACTATAATTGCATGGAATTAACTCTGAAAGCAATACAATTCGGTCCTAATGATGAATGACATGAGGGAGGGCGCCATATATTTAATTTCTGTGCCTTAGAAAAAAACCTTAAAAAGCACCTCCACTAAATGGCGACTCTAGCAAAAGTTGACTTTTGCAGGAAACGAATGGACCAAAGCCAGTCATTTCCGTTCCTTTTAACTACCATATTAAACAACTGAAATTTTAAAAGTTCGAAACTTAGATACGTAGGCGGGATGATAAATAGCTAGCCCAACCCATATTTTGTATAATAATAATATAAAAGTTCCTTAGTATTTTACTCATTGGTTCATTAGCTGCCAGTGTTCCAAATTTCAAATCGATCGTATAGTTTTTTTTTTTTAATATTGACATTTCAAAAAGCATTCTTTTGTTTTTTCTGCAAAATGGATAAAATTGAGCTACGAGGTGTGATAAAGTTTTTGCATTTAAAAAGGATTAAAAGGTGGAGAGATTTTTTCGGGTAGAAGGATGTTTTGGGAGAAAATGCTCCTTCATATGTGACCATAAAAAATTAGGTGACTGAATTTAAACGTGGCCGTACCAGCACCCAAGATGAACATCGTCCAGGACGTCCAAAAAGTGCCACTACTCCAGAATTTGTGATCAAAATTCATGATGCAGTTTTAGCTGACCGAAGATTGAAACTTTCCGAGATAGCTGATACTGTAGGCATCTCTAAAGAACGGGCGCATTACATTTTGACTCAAGAATTATGTATGAAAAAATTATCCGCAAGGTGGGTGCCGCGATTGCTTACAACTGTAAGTTGACCAAAAACGCGTTCGTATGCAAATTTCACAAGAATGTTTGGACCGCTTTAAGAGCAATACAACTGATTTTCTGCGACGGTTTGTTACTACAGACGAGACTTGGATTCACCACTATATACCTGAATCAAAAATTCAGTCTAAACAATGGACGGAAAAAGGATCCCCAGCTCCAAGGAAAGCAAAAGCCGTGAAATCAGCGGGGAAAGTCATGGCGTCAGTATTTTGGGATTGGAAGGGTTTATTGATGATTGATTACCTTCCAAAAGGACAAAACATAAATGGCGAATATTATGCTGATCTACTGGATAAATTACAAGTGTGTATTCGTGGAAAAGACCCGGCCTGGCTAAAAAAAATAATCTTTCATCAGGATAATGCGCGCGTTCACACGTGCATCACTGCGATGGCAAAATGCAAAAAATTAAATTATGAATTGCTACCACACCCAGCTTATTCTCTTGATCTGGCACAATCTGTCTTTCATCTATTCCCCAAGTTCAAAATTTTTTTAGGTGGACAAAGATTTGAAAATAATAGCCAGGTGATGTCTGCCGTGGACTGATGTTTTAAAGGGCTTGAAGAAAACCACTTCAGGGATGGCATCAAGGCTTTAGAGCATAGATGGATGAAGTGCATAGTGCATAATAAATATACTTTTAACACACTAATTCAAGTTTTTCTATGCTAAGCTAGCTATTTATCATCCCGCTGTATCAATACAAATACGAAAAAGTACAAATAGAATATGAGTTGTTTATTGAGTTTTGAAAACTAATTTACTTTTAAACATGAAAGAAAACCGAAAGAGTTGTCATGGAGAAATCAAGAACGTAGCGTAACGACATCTAGTTTGATTTCGGGAACTAATGTTTTTTTAATAGTTCCTCATTATCAATTTTTATTATCATTTTTTTTATTTATATTGAGTTCACTTCTGTCCTCGATCTAGCCTGAGGACTTAAATGAAATGTTATGAGATAAATATGACATCTTTTGCTTTTCGTCACCCATCACCATTAATTGTGAAGTGTCATTAAATTAACAAAAATCAACACGCATCACGCCCGCACAATACATATTGATATTAGACATCATTTTGTTCGTGAGTCTATATCCACTAAACAAGTCAATGTGTCATTCATACCATCAGCTCACCAAACAGCAGACATTTGAAGGTGGGCGTTTGTGGCTGCAACTCAGTTTTTAAACTAAAGCAGCTGCTTTCGTACACGATAATATCTGTAAAGTGTAAAGTTCCAATAAAAAAATATTATTATTATTATTATTATTATTCTCACAAAGCCACTGCCTAAGCTAAGTGCCTAACTTATTTGTTTTCGTGTTGTTAATTGATAGGGCGTTAGTGTTAAGGTACTTTTGATACAATGTTTTTTTTGTACATACAGTGGTTTTAATATAAAGAGTGTACATAAGTGTCCTGATTACGGGGAGGTGTAGATAAAACCTTTTTCTATATTAATCAGACACTGGCATCATTTCGTATACCTTTTTTGTATTAAAATTTTATACACTGTTTATTGTTTTTATGTCACTCTTTTCTTTACTCTCGTATTATATTGCTATTTTCAACATGAAATATATTAAATTCTCCAATCCACTGTGACTCTTAATTCCTACATTTTAAGAGTTAAGCTTATACTTTCACAATAAATTCTCAATACAAACAGAGTAAACGATGTATTTGACTGTGATTGTTTTAGTATGTTTATTACGATTTCTAAGTTTGATGCTACAATAGTTAATAACAACGCAAAATGATAAACAACGAAGTAATTTTGGTCCTGTCGGTCACGTGATAGGTTAGAGGGTATTTTTTTAACAGATAACAAAACTAAATGAACATTTTTGTGGCTTTTAAATCATTAGTCTTGTTAAACGGTCAAAATGTCATAATAATTGAACTAGTAAAACTAGGCGAGCGATTGGGTTCCTAGCCATTTATTTGGATGGCTGTTTTAACTAGTTGGCTGCAACACATACAAGAGAGTTTGTACGAAACGGACTATTTGCTAGGTATACCTATGGGTAGTTTTTCCGATGAATTTTTCTAGGTACTTTAGATAGTTTGATCAATTTATTACACAATATTAGTTCAAAACAAGATAGAATACGTAAAGCTATGGCTTTTAGAAGAACTCATTTTCATACCTAGTAAGTCGGTCATTACCTTTGCCGTGTATGTAAACACTTCTAACGAATCTAGCAATTTATAGATTGAGCTACAAAGATAACGGACTGGACTCACTGGACACGAAGAAAAAAAGATTTCTATCATATAACGTAAGAGCCATTTGTCAAGATCGTGTTTTTATTTTAACGTCTGCTTGCCTTCTTCAAAATCACGATAAATAAAATGTAATCTTAAAACGATAAGTCTTTGTAATATTGACATAGAATTTTATATTAATGTAGTATTTTCTAAAAATAACAAATAAAACATAATAATTAAAGGTTTTTTTTTTAGTTATGGCCTTGTTCCATTATACACAGAAATTCTGCCAACATCCAATAAAAGATTATTAATAAGGATTAATGTATGCTGCTGCATGTCAGGTTAAGACATGTCAAATTTCTACAATAGATGTTGACCTCTGCCCTGAGTTCATTAAGGTTTAAAACCGAGTGGGGAGTATAGTCTGACTTGTAGTTGACAGTACCTAGGTGATCACAGCAAACTAGAGCTTATACTTCACGATGGCCTTAAAACTCCTATCCAAGCTCTCCTAGCAATATCGCATTCCAAGATAGTGCAAAGAGCACATTCTAAATGGAAGTTTTGTTCTTCATGAAGTGAAATCAACTTATGTTAGAATATATTTTAAATTGAAGGAAACTCTTTAGAAATATTTAATTTGTTTTGCATTCATGTTATATAGATATTTTTCTTCAGCAATATTTAGTATTTAGGAATGAAATAAGATGCTACTCTTATTTGGTTTTAGTAACATAAAAAAGACACGAAACCCAATAAAGCTAACTCATTTATTTTCTATATTTAAATTATAAATGGGAATGATTGTGTTTGCAACGTCGAATTATATTAAAACTCATTAAGTGAATTATCGCCTAAACATTGGACATAGTAAAAATGTTGGTATAATTATTTCATAAGAAAAAATACATTTTGCTAGAATTTGTAGTCAGATCTGCGTACACATTTATGAATTATTCAAAAATGCATCTTACAACATTAAAAATATTACAACATTTTTGTACTAAAGATAGAGATTGTAAAAGCCAAAAATTAATACTTGTTTTATATGAATATCAGTCTTGTTCATTTGTTTCATCACCACTGGAGCTTTCTTCACTAGAAGACTCTTCACTTGATTGATCAGTGGACTCATCATCAGATAGATCACCTTTACCAGCTTTTTTAGCCATGATCTCTTTAAATTGTCTCACTGTTATTTTTCTAGGCATAATTTCTCTAAGAAAATCTAACGTATCATCTTCCTGTACTACTTCGGCTATGTGTTTGTATTCTAAAAGTGTATTTTTGCTGTTTTTGAAAGCTCTTTTAGCTAAATCTATAACAAACAGCTCCTAAAATAAAAAACATATAAAATATATATATAATTATGATATACGCTAAATTCTTATTAGGGTATTTAAAAAAACGAATGTATCACAACTACAACACCCAGACCCAAGACAATATAAGTAGTTTCACTAAGAATTTAAGTAGACAAGCTATTTATTTATACATTTGACCTAACCGGGTGTCGAACCTGGGAGCTTGAAACCGAAGTGAAAGCCGTGCAGCCACGGTGGTCGTAAATACACTTTTAAGACAAAAACTTGATCATTAAAGCTTAAAACATCGTTGCATTTATATTTTGAGGTTATGATTTCTATGATGCTTACCGTGACTTTTGTGACCAAATATAATGGTTCTTGTCCGACAGCCTCAACGTCCGGAGAACTTTTCATAATCGTTTTAACTCTAGATAATGGCAAATGTAAGTCTTTTTCAGTTTTCGGCGTCGACATGATGATTTGTTTACAAATTAAGACAACAAACAAACCAAAGAGCAAAGCACGTACGTACCATGAACAATCAGATCATAGAGAGCAACTTTACTCTTTGCAACAGACTCATTGTTTTGTAAAATCATGTCCACACATTGGATTCAATTTTGTATTTACGCTTGGTTCCAATGAGGAAATATTTTAAAAATAAAAATTAGTTTTTGAAAACATACTTGTTATCACTAGCGATTTTTGGATAAGTGTTTATGATATTTTCTTTCAGACGTTATAAAATATTGATTATGTTACGTGTAAAGGAACTATGTTTGGCTTATAATAAATATGTCAACATTAGTGATGAGCCAACTTAATGATTACTCGTATCTTCAATGAGGAAGTATTTAAAAAAAAATAGTTTTTTAGTCAATCGTATTTGTATTGATATCTAAGTTTCGAACTTATCAAATTTCTGTTTTTAATATGTTTAATTAAAAGGAACGGAAATGAAAGTCTTTGGTTCATTCGGTTCCTGCAAAAATCAGTCGCCACCTAGTGGAGGTGCTTTTTTAGTGCTTTCGTTTTTTTTAAATAGTTCTTCATTGACTCAATTCATTTCATTTCATTCAATTTATCAATTCGGGTCTGGAATGAAGATCAAAAAACGAAGAGCATAATTCAGCTTATTTTTATGTGCTGTATTTCCATATGTGCCATTATCTATCCACACATGAAATGATTTTTAATAAAACTGATTTCTAAAGTAGGTTGAGTAAGGAAGGTATTGTCAATATTTTTGTAAAAATTAAGCACATACTCACCGTACGAATTAATATAACACCTGGCTCGAAACATTATACTTTCCTCGCTTCTTGCTACTCGCTACCTCGCACGATATCCCGCCGTTGCGTCGCCATGAGAGTTCAGTTCAGTAGCAATAATATAATAATTGTTACGTGTACTTCTCATTTGAAATTTGAAGATCGTTGCTGTTGATTTTGAACGGACGTTTTTTGTTGATTGTTAAGTTTTTATTAGGATAATTAAATTGTGAAGACAAGATTTATTAACTGATTTTAGTTATTTTTTTTTTATAAAAAATATTCTTATGTAAGAAAGGACAACTTATTTGCACGTTGTATTTTGTACAAGCATCATTCTAGCCGAAAGTCATGTTAGTTAGTACTAGTACCTAGTATATTAAAACGAATTGTTTATTAAATTTATCGTATTTATGACCTTTACTGCACATTTTAATATGCATTTTTAATTCATTTACCAAATATATTATATAAAAATTATTGAGACTTGATGTAGTTTTGTTGCTGTTAGTTCAACAAAAAACTATGAACAAGAAAACTAACTTACCTAGTTGTTATTGTTTTCAGAACTTTTATTAAATATTAGATCTGCTAGTGAAAAATGATTTTATTTATAAAAACTATTTTACAGTAATATTATTGTATACCATAACTAAATGCTATTTTTAATAATTTTATTGAAATATTCTATTGATTTTCATATCTTTAAAAAAATCTTTCTATGCTGACTTCCATTAAGATAGTTTCCATTTTCCTTTGTACAAATAAAAAGTAATTTATTCAAAGGTTCGTTCGTATTATTCAAGTTGCGTTTGCGTAACACGATCTTATTTAATTTCTAATCGATATTAATCTGAGTTATTACATTCATAACTACACCAACACTTCTATACTCTTTGGTCAAACGTCATGAATGAGGAAGCATTAAAAAAACAAATTCGTGACCGAAATCAAACTAGATGTCGCTACGGTATTTTCTTGATTTCTCCATGACAACCTTTCCCTTGTTTTCTTTCACGTATAAAGGTAAGTTAGTTTTCAAAACTCAAAAAAAAACTTATATTCTATTTGTAATTTAACGTATTTGTATTGATATCTAAGTTTCGAACTTTGAAAATTTAGTTTTCTAGTATTAAAAGGAACGGAAATAATTCTCTGTGTTCCATTAATTTCCTGCAAAAATCAACTTTTGGTAGAGACGTCATCTAGTGAGGTGCTTTTAAGTGCTCTGCTAAGAGCGACGATTTCAGCCCTGAAGACCGCCAACTCCTGTTTCATCAATTCGTTGCTCTTTCTGAGCGTCGAAATCTCCTTCTCCATATTGATGGTCAAGGTTCCCTTTACAAAGTCTTTCAAGGCATTTATATTTGTCTTAAGCTGCCCTTTCATCTTGTCATTCATGTTCTTGGAGCTTCGCGATGGCCTTCGCATGAAAATCCGTAGCCGGTGGGAGTCGCATGTTTCCCACCTCCAGAGGACGTGTAGCGAAAGGCAAAAACCGCCGGCGACAAGCCCTCGCCCACGTCCAGCTTGGACTGGTTGTTCTTTATTAAGGTTGTCTCTTCTTGAGGACCCCCAATTAAGGGTAGCACAACCTCGGCTCCGCAATTGCTGGTCATGGTTTCATGACCAGAAGGCCCAACATCCTTAATCGTTCCGCTTGCTTCCCGGATTATCAGGGTTGCCGGCCAAGCCAGAACAGCGTCTCTGCTTCCCCGACTTAACGTCGGGGCGCCGACCTGGAGCGCAAAACCTCGCTAAATTCAGAGGGTCAAAACCTCCAAAACTCTTACAAGAAGACCCATGAAGGATCACACCCTGCACGGCTGCCACTACCCGGAATACGGCTAATACGCAAGCTGCGCCCCGGACTCTTTTCCATAGGGATCCATGGTTTTTTTTTTTTTTTAAAATACCTGGCCTTACAATCTATGGCCGAGCGTCCTAACTACCCCCACAAACTTGCAGGACTTTGTTTGCGAAATTCTCATACATATTTCTTAATTCTATTCTAAGGTGTTACCACCCGTGTCCCCGGGTACTGCTTATACCCTTGTCCAGTTTATTTTATTCTGTACATTTGCTCATCTTTTTGGATTTTTCCCCCGACAGCTCCACTCTATCACTTGTTGAGTGTGTGCTCCCGGAGGACGTTCCTTGTTATTAGAGTTCAGATTTGTTGGTGAGCCAATACCAGGAGATTTGTGGGTAGTAGCTATCAATTAATATTTTATTTGACAATCATCTTACAATTAAATTACCTAGTCTATTGATTTTATTACATTATTAAATATTTTAATTAGTCATTTCTTTACATATCAATCCATTACATACATTTACATTATTACATAACATCATTGAGCAAAATTATAAGGAATATTTTAATTATAATTGTCTAACTTCCCATTCCATCTTATTAACAACTCATATAATTTCATTTACAATTATAACATCCATTTGATCAGTCCAATTAATTCACATTTTCCATTTCATTAGTTAACATCTTAGACAAGACATTACATTACAAATTCAGTATCTTTACTATTTAAATTCATACATTTTGTTGCGACCCTGACTTGATTACATTATTGCTAGTTTCATTATATGCTACCCTGTAGAAATCTCCCCCTCTGCACTGTCCCACCCGACGACATAGCCATTTGCATTCACTAGTTAAATACCTTAATCTATACCCCATACTTTACGCGTTCCCGCATACATCTAATACAGTTTTAATCTTTATTTGATTCGATTGTTTTTATTATGATTGGTCTAACAAATTTCAAAAATATTTCTCTGTCCTCATCTTCGTACATTATTTGAGCCAGATTTTCCCTATTTAATGTCCTTTTTAGCTGCTGCTGCAGGTTGTGTCTTTCTAAACTATATATGGGACAGTCCAACACTACATGCAGTATATTCTGGTCAATTTGGGGGTCGCAAGAGCATCCAGGAGAGTCCCTACGCTTGAAACGGTGGAGGTACGCTTTAAAGCCCCCGTGCCCTGTGAGTAGCTGCGCGTTGATATTTTCCTTTTCTATCTTTCTTATTTTACTGAAGGCCTTTTCCGCGCTGGGGAAGAAGGCCTTCGTTACCGCCGCGGTGTCTTCGTTTCGATAACGGAGATCCCATTCAGCCTTTGTCAGATTACGTAGGTATCTCTTAATGTAAGAAATGGGACCTCCGTCATAATGTGGTTTACATTTTAGTCTTAGGGCAGCCTCCTTAGCTAGTTCATCCGCCCGCTCGTTTCCGATCACTCCGACGTGGGCCCTTATCCAGTAGAAATGGATTTTTAGGCCAAAGGCCATTACTTGTATCAAATTACCTTGGATGGCCTTTACGATCGGATGTGTCGAGTCGGGGTTCTGAAGCGACTGGAGTGCCGCCCTCGAGTCACTCAACACCGCGACTTCTTCCCATTTTTTGTCTAGTATTACCTCTGTCGCCCTGAGGATGGCGTATAATTCGGCTTGGTACACTGTGCAGAAAGGTTCGAGCTTGAATTTCCGGGCAACGATTTCAACCGCCCCCTCCCAGCAGGTCAGGGCGGCACCCACTTTGCCCTCCAATTTCGAGCCATCCGTGTAAATGCGCACCTTGCCATCTTGTTGTTCGCCATCCTCTTTTACATTCTCCAGGCACCGGAATACCAGACTACTCGCGCTACTGGGGTGAGGTGACTCCAACAAGGAAACCCTTTGTTCTATTCGTCTACCGCACAATATCTCCTGGGGCTTGCCTCTTTTCGCTTCGTATATGCTCAGGGCCTCTTTAATTCTAAGGTCCAGTGGCAGCAAGCCAGAGATCAACAAGGCAGAGTTAAGAGACACTGTGCGGTATGTCTTCGCGATTTTTTGAGCGAACCCCCGTTGGACTGCGTTTAGGACTTTCTTGCTAGTTTTTTTGTCTGCTTCTCCCCCCCATACACTAGCCGCATACAATATAATTGGTTCTATAACTGCCACGTATAATGTTTTTAAAACCGCCGGGCTCAGTCCCCAAGTAGTCTTCGCAGACGACGCTATCCCCCTATAGATGTTTATTGCCTTTTTTGCTGTTTCAGAAATGTGTTTGTTAAATGTTAACTTATCATCTATTATTACTCCTAAAATCTTCACTTCCCTAGTTATATTCAAAATAATACCCCCCATTGTAAAGGTAGGGGTTTCATACTTTAGCTTTTTTGTTATGATTATCACCTGTGTTTTATGTGGAGCAAACTTTAATTTGTTGTCTTTGCCCCACTTTTCGACTCTAGTC